TTCTACGATGCCAAGTTTTAATTGACCAATGAGATTGCAGAATACCAGGTTTCTAAATCTATTAGATACTTCCCAGCAACACTTAGAAACCTGGCGCTCTATGCTTATGCTCTTGGCTCTTATTATTAATCCATTTGTCAAGCTGGGTTGATTCTTTACTGGCCTAGCCTGTTAGATATGTTGTATGTATGTCAACTGTTGTCTTATTATCAATTTATCAGCAGCTGGTAGTTTCTTTTTAAATGTCATGGTAGAAGTTGGTTGTACACCTCTGTATTGGTTTCTATGGCATTTATTAACCTCCCGACTGACTGCATCGCTAGGTTAATAAATATCATAGAAACCTCTACCTCAGTGTATAACCTATATATACTTATTCAAGCTCTTGGTGTACACACACTTCATGTCTAATTAGAACCATTGCAGTATTGTGCATTTACGCAAGTACATGTAGTTGAGTACTCAACCTTGTAGTTCTACATGTACATTTTTATACTCAGTTTCACTAATGAAAATTCCTTTTGGACGGTAACAGCAACATTAGAAACCAATCTATCATTATTTTATTATTATAGGATAGAAATACTGCTCTTGTTATAGCGGCAGAGAGAGGACATTATGACATTGTACAGTTGCTATTGAATAATGGAGCTGATCGAAGCACTGCAAATTATGTGAGTATAGTTATGTGTACAATGTACATGTTGGTGCAATCGAACAGAATTTATTACAACTCAGTCAAACTTTACAAAAAGATACCAACTTAAATAGAAACATGCAACAAAAATGAGGATATTATTGAGTATTTGAGTTGAACAAAAAACCTTACAAACATTGAACAAGTGAAACCTCATGGTAGAGTAGCATGTCCCTATGAACTGGACAAAGCTGTTCAGCTCATTGTTCAGACAAAGGGAGCAAGAGCATAAGACTTCACACACAAATTAAAACCAAAGTTTGTAAACATACAATTTACATCTACACAATTAATCAATAGTTAACAAACTACATGTAATAATTAAATAACTGTAATAACTATAATATAAACAAACTATCAAAAGTGATATCTTCAATACATGTATTTAATTGTACGAAAAACTTAAAGGCAGCTTATAATTATTAATTTTTAAAAATGTTTCAAAAGTCTCCCAGCTGTGTTACACAAATAAAGTCTTTAAAATTTCCTTCATAGTCTCAGTTGAAAGTTAGTTAAGAGTGTTAACTAATGATGCATGAAATGACTGCCTCCATAGGGCTAGAATGAGCTATCTTTTTTTATAAAGTCCATTCACAAAAATACCTCATGCATGATGATCTAGATACATGTATTTTTGTTAGTGAAACAGTCACACTTGGAGGTCACTTGAAAATTTGTTGCGGAGCTTATTTTTGATTTAGAAGCAACCAAGCCTTTGATCAGCGTAATTGAGGGTGAAAAAAATAGCAGGATTGAGTAATTTGAGTATACTTGTACTAGCAATGTTGTGCACAAGAATCAACTGTGCATCACTCATAATGAAATCAGCTTAATATAATAGAGTGTTTAAGGTCAGATTTTTTACCCTGTAATTTTAACTTTTACATGTGTTTTCATTGTTGTATGATAAGGTCAGGCATATGCATAAGCTTTTGAGAGCTCTAATTTTAAAGCATCAATTATAAAGTTCTATTCAAGGGACCTACATGTACATGTACTTGTAGTAATCATCAATTATAATCATCAATTATAAAGTTCTATACATGTATATAATTTTTCTATTGCCATATTTTTATAGTCAGGAGAAACTGCTCTAAATGTAGCAGCAAGAAAAGGATACAACAACATTGTGCAATTATTATCTGAAGAACCTGATCAAAATATTACAACTCATGTGAGTAATTTATGTCATATATAAAAAAAATCAAATAAATTATTTTAATGTGCAATACATTACTGTATTTTCAAAACACGTAGGCATTTATTTCTTATAGAGATCCATTTTTGATCTGCACATTTAAATGAAGTAGGTGTTTATATGAGAGTAGGCATTTATAACCAGCAATTCTTGAGAGTTGAGTCTTCTTTTATAAGAAAAACTTCCTTCTCAGCTACAACTTTCACAAGCATATCCAAGGGGGGGCTGAGGGGGCTTGAACACCCTCCTCATGGCTGGGCTTGGAAAAAATTACTCAAATCCTGGACTCTTTCATCACTACCAAGCCTCTTAAGAAAGTTATCTAACTCCCTGATCATAATTTCAGCAGTTTCCAGTGCTTTTAAGGAGCGATCAGAAGTTGTCAGAAGTAGTAGTATGCTTGAAATTATCTTGACCCCGCCCATAATTCACGAAAATAAAGGAAAATGCCTTTTTACCGCCGTAAAAAGGGGTGTGGCCAAAATTGCAATGCGCTTTGTGCGCCCTCAGCACCCTCCTGTTTTGATTTCTGGATACACTAGTGACTTATATTGTCTGTAACAAGTGCCAGTAACCACATGTGCAAAAGGGGCATGGCATAAGTGTCTAAATAAGCATAGGATGTCTATAGGCGTATACAGGCAAGAGTGTTAATTGGGAGTGGGTGTTTTCATAAGAAAATACAATGTATACATTTTAGATGACTAGCACTTATTTATCAAGAAAGCTTTGCAGAAAGAACACCGTTTCAATTTATCGACTACACACATGTAACCTCTAAAAATCATGATGCATTTTCTGTGCTTTGACTTTAACCCCATCAAAGCTACATGTATAGCTACTGATTCACCTTTATGAATAATGTTTTAAAAAATTTGTGTGCTTATTATGTTCAAAAATTCTCCCTTAAAATTAATAGTCTAAATAGACATGTGTCATTATTTGCATTAATATCTATTGTACCATGAGTTCAATGTATA